AAAAATCCTTATTATCAATGCCCTTGTTTGCCCATTTGTACAATGAGAATGCTAAATATAACTCATATGGGATTGTAAAATAACACATCTTAAATATTCAGGGCAGTGCCGAGAACAAGAATGTAATATTTGGGACTGGAGAGGGCTCCACAGTTAAGAACACCATTGTTCCAGAAGACCCACTTCCTGGCCCCCACATAGCAGTTCATATCATCTAGAATTCAGGGAGCTGATGCCCTCTTCTGGCCTTGTCAGGGACCAGGCACACATGTGGCACACAGGCACACATGTAGCCAAAACACTCATGCACACAAAATTTTATATAAAAGAATGTGATATTTGATACATATAGTAATTAGGAACTATGAAAATTTTTCTAATGTTCTAGCAATTTCACGATCTCAGCTTCAAAGTCAGCTTGTTTATGTTCTAACTCCAAATTTTGCTGACTCTTTTGAGTCACTAAACACGTGATAAAACACCTAGTGTACATCTTGTGTTTGTGGTTAGCAGAGTTTTACACTAAGCCAGACACTTGCTCCTGTTACTCCATTTGGTGGGGGTATTGCAGGGAATGACACAAAACCATTGTTCTTACAGAATAAATTCTTTATTAATTTGAAGGTGGTGGGGCAAACATGCCACCATGTGGATGTGGATGTCAGAGGACTCTGTGGGTGTCAACTCCCTCTTTCCTTCATGTGGATCCTGGCTATCAAACTTGGGCCTTCAGGCTGGTCAGGAACCTCTACCTGCTGGGCCACCTTGAATAAATTCTTTTTTTTTAAAGATTTATTTATTTAATATGTATGCAATATTCTGTCTGTGTGTATGACTGCAGGCCAAAAGAGGGCACCAGACCTCATTACAGATGGTTGTGAGCGACCATGTGGTTGCTGGGAATTGAACTCAGGACCTCCTGAAGATCAGCCAGTGCTCTTAACCTCTGAGCCATCTCTCCAGCCCCCTTGAATAAATTCTTAACCACAAGCTTTATCCATCGTCACTAACTGCTGTCTGAAGGACCGGACTGTCCTCTGGAATCCTTTATCCATCATCGCTAACTGATGTCTGAAGGAGCAGGCCGTCCTCTGGAATCCTTTATTCTTCTGTCCTACCACAGCCTGCCTTCCCTCTACTCCAGTCCTTCCCCCACCTCTCCCAGGACCACCCCTTCTTTGCCTCCCCACCCAAAAAAGAGCAAGCCTCCCAGAGACATCAGGCAGGCAAGGGCACAACAAGGTACAATGAGACTAGGCACAAAATAAACAAAGGAGACAATAACAATAGATTAGGCAGAAACCCCCACAGCAGGGCTGAATGAGGCAACCCAGCATAAGAAAATGAATCCCAAGAGCAGGAAAAAGAGTCAGAGACACCCCACCCCGTAAGGTTTATCATGTTGATATGAGGACCATGGAATGCCACAACAGACCTCACACAGTGGGGGGTCATGAATGGCCTAAGTGGGCACGAGAGAGGAAGAGAGAGGACCGAAATGGCAAGGGTTTTTTTTTTTTTTTTTTTTTTTGAATTTTCAAGACAGGGTTTCTCCACACAGAGATCCGCCTGCCTCTGCCTCCCAAGTGCTAGGATTAAAGGCGTGCACCACCACTGCCCGGCCAGCCCCAGCTCTCTCTCTTTCTTTTTTTTTAAATATTTATTTATTTATTATGTATACAATATTCTGTCTGTATGTATGTCTGCAGACCAGAAGAGGGCACCAGACCTCATTACAGATGGTTGTGAGCCACCATGTGGTTGCTGGGAATTGAACTCAGGACCTTTGGAAGAGCAGGCAATGCTCTTAACCACTGAGCCATCTCTCCAGCCCCCCCCCCAGCTCTCTTTTAAGTAGTTTTGTGGATTTTATTTTATTTGAGACAAGAGTGGTACTAAGATGCCCAGATTAGCCTGGCACTTCATATGGAGACTAGGCAGATACCTGAAAACTTGTAATCCTGCTACCCAGCCTCTGGAGTAGCTGAGGTCACAGGTCTGAAGCACCAGGTCCAACTTTCATACAAATTATATAAGTCTTCTTTAAATGACAAAATATCCCCTTCATTATTTTCACACAAGGAAGAGCTGAGACACAGTGGCAATATGTCTGATTAGCAAACAACAATGATTCGCCTCAAATCTGTTGTCTTTGGTCTGTATATTCCAAAGTGTGGAGAGAGAAATTGAGTCCAGTGATTTGAGAATATCCTTGCCCTCAATACAACTTCTAAACCACAGTTATCCCTTTAGTTAAGAACCCCTGTAGTTCTCTCTGGAAGACTTATTAACTCCAGCATTCAGAGGGAGGGAGTCAGGATCTAATGATCATCAGGATCAAGGTCATCTTGACCATGAGCAAGTTCAGGGCCAGCCTGAACTCAGAAGAGTACTCTAGACCAGTCAGACTCTGCAGTCTCTAAGCGATGGTGGCCCATGCCTTTTAACTCCAGTACCCTAAAATTAGAAAAATGATGCCTAGGGAGGCTGAGACAGGCGGATCTGAGTTAAAGGCCACCCTGGTCTACAGAGTGAGTTCCAGGACAGCCAGGGCTACACAGAGAAACCCTGCCTCAAAAAAACAATAAATAAACAAATTAAATAAATTTTAAAAACTATTTTGCTATATCCCAGTGAAGAATGCTTAGCATACTATAATCAGAAACTTATTTTAAGAGGACACATGAAGACTACGGATATAGTTCAGTGGTGGAGTTTAGCATTCAGAAGGCCCCAAGTTCAATCTCTGCTTTAAAAAACATGGATGGGCCAGGCGGTGGTGGCACATGCCTTTAATCCCAGCACTCGGGAGGCAGAGGCAGGCGGATCTCTGAGTTCGAGACCAGCCTGGTCTACAAGAGCTAGTTCCAGGACAGGCTCTAAAACCACAGAGAAACTCTGTCTTGAAAAAAAAAACAAAAACAAACAAACAAAAAAACATGAATGGACAGGGGCTGGAGAGATGGCTCAGAGGTTAAGAGCACTGACTGCTCTTCCAGAGGTCCTAAGTTCAATTCCCATTAACCACATGGTGGCTCACAACCATCTGTACTGAGATCTGACGCCCTCCTCTGGCGTGCAGGCATACATGGAGGCAGAATGTTGTATACATAATAAATAAATAAATCTTAGAAAATGTATGGGCAGCTGGGATGTAGCATAAGTTCAGAACAGGGTAAAAACGTTTGCCTAGTAGGTATAAGGTCTTAGAGTTCATCACCAGTAAAACACACAAACACACACAGACATGCACACACAATGTGGTTTGATCAGAAATTGGGCACAATAAGAGTAAGACAATTTATTTAATTTTATTCTTTATTTTTATTATTAGTTTGTTTTTTTTTTTTTTTTTTTTTTTTT